CGGTAAACATTTAGTTCTATTATTTAAATCTCAAATAAAATATAATTAAGTTTTAGCAATGGCGCCATAAAATTTATTGTCAATTTTTAACTGTAAAGATGCTGCAGCATAATTTTGTGAGTCTTTGTTAAGATTCTTCTGATTGCAACTACACATTAACAGCATGTAGTAGATTTCCTACATGTGAAATCATTCCTAAATATACCTCTGACATTTATTATCGAAAAAAATTTTCAAAATGTTAGGACAGCTTTTATAATCTTTATTTAAGAAATATTTTTTTTAAGGCTTATAAAATTTTAAATTCCATCGATGGCGGGTATTAGGAACATAACGCAACCAACATTGTGCTGACTCAATTCTGTAAATACACTCTGTTTTTACCAAATTCACTGAGGCATTATTAGATCAGAAAGCTGACATGCAATTGATTGATAATCTCGAATCTGCTATATTCACAATTATATGGTTAGCTATCTACCTTAATTTTGTTGAAATAGCGGAGGATCAAGGGAAATATTTTAATATTTCCCTTATTAAATGCATCTGTTAGAATTGCATATGTATGCCCATCTTTCAAATCGTCAAGAATTGACCTCCTGGATTTAGGTCCTAAAACATTGATGATAGCCTTGCTCATTTTTGTTCTACAAGTATAGTTTTCATTTATATTAGAGTTCGTTAAATATTATGGGGAAAAGATTCTAACAACATTGTGATGAAATCTCTGTGAATGTTGTACTACAAGATAAGTGATTAAAATTGCTGCAACTGTAGTTGCATCTGTATTATTTCATATTTTTTGAGTACCTAATTATGTATTTAAACGTGATACGTGATAATTAAGCGCCTATCCCTATAATGTTATACCCACACACGGTAGATTTCCAATTGAGGTCGTTTTGCGGGACATTCGCATAAAATATATTTTTAATTGTAAAATTAAAATCATTTTTTTTTTATAAAATTTTATCTTGTTTATATTCTTTTATATTTAAAAAAGATCGTTGGTTTTTTTTTATAAATTAATATATTTAAATAAATCAAGATGTTATTTTATTTTGAAAAATAGTTACCGACTATGTTTTATATAAACTAATTAAAAATAATAGGCGGATAATTAAGTCAATTCAAAATCCTGGCCGGGCCCGCAAATTTTTTTTTAGCAATTCTTATATTTCTACCGCAATTTTCTTATTTCTCCCGCATAATCAAAATTTCTCCCACAATTTGAAAATTTTGACATGGCAACCCTGGTCATGATGAAGTTATTAAAAATATCACAATAATAAATGAATTTGGGGATTTATATATCAATTTTAATTAAATTCGTAATGAAACTGTGAAAGATATTGAATTAAAACAAGTCATAAATGATATTAAGAACAACAGGCCTATTAAGAACAATGTCTATAAAAACAATGAATTGGAATTAAAAAGCAACAAATTCATAATTCCGTCTTCTATGAGAAAAAATGTACTACAGTCATTACATGAAGGTCAGTTGGGATCAGGAAAAATCAAATCCTGAGCCAAAGATTACATGTAGTGGTCTGGTGTAAATAATGACATAGATATGAAAGTGAAAAGCTGTGACGATTGTAATATATATCACGACAATCCTAAAAAGATATAAAAACCCTGGGTTTCGGCAACCAAATCATTTGAAAGGATACATATAGATTATGCGGCGTTCTTCAAAATTGGTTGATAATAGTCGATGCCTACAGTAAATTTCCAATTATTGTTCCTGTTAAAATATTACGACCGATGTTACTTTAAAATAAATTTTCAAAACTATTTCGCTATATGGAATACCTGAAACTATAGTTACTGATAACGGCACTAACTTTACAAGTAACGATTTTGAAAAATTTGGGTAGGAAGAATTGCCATATTTAATCTTATTAACATCTCTTCTTGAGAAATATTTATATGAAATCCCATGTCCAACTATTTTATTCTTTTTGCTCCTATGATTTCAGGATTTCTATATGCAATATTTGTAGAGGGAAACAATAATGACAAGGATACTACTAATAGTATCCCTGTATCAAATATAAATTTATGGTCTAACACGACCATAAATTTGGACTCGTTTAATATTTTATTTACTTTAATATTTATTAGATAATATCTTTTAATGAAATCAATTTCTCCGTTTTAATACTCTTAGTGAAGATCCAAAAAATCATTACTCTTAATATTCTTTTAATATAATATAAATTATATAGAAATGATTATGGTATCAAACATGTGCTCACATCTCTGCTTATCACCAGCAATCTAATGGCCAGGTAGAACGCATGTTGAGAACGTTCAAAACACATATGAAAAGGAATATTAAAAGTGACGTAGACATCACACTTGACAAATTTTTATTTAATTACAGAAACACGCGTAATGATACTACAGGAGTTACACCTTCTAAGAGAATGTTCAATTGAGATATTAGAGTTAAATGGGACTTATTAAAACCGTTGGAAGAGAAGGAGAACAAAATCAACGTTACTTTACCACGAAATAGAACCTTTAACGTAGGAGATTTTGTTTGGTACAAAGTACAAGGTGATGACAAATGGTGTAAAGGCATGGTCACACACAAAAAAAGTGACATGATGTTACAAATTAAGACAGATAAAGGTATTTTGAGGGGACACTTAGATCAATTAAGAATAAGAAATTGTTTTAACACACTTATTTATTATGACTCTAAGGATTCTTTTAAGGAGGGAAGTATGGACAAAAATATAAAAATTTCTGATAAAAATGATATAACACCGATTTCTAGACCAATGCGAATTAAACAAAAACCTGCTTATTTAAAAGACTACATAACTTAAAATATAAAAGTAAATTAAATATTAAAACGCATAAAGTAAATTAAATACTAAAACGCTAAAATGAAAACGGTAAAAATATTGTATAACAATCTTATTGATTTATCATTCTTCACTTATTCTTATATCCAACTTGATGAATTATATTTATAATTATTCGTAACTTACTGATGATAATAACAATTTTGAAAATTGATAATAACAACAAGTAATCTCAAGCAAGCTACATGACAAATCACGATACATGAGGACAACTTTTGATAAGGATAACAAGCTTACGATTATATAATACAATTATCTTCTTTTTAATCAGATACAATTTGTAATTATAAAAAATACAATCCAACGTGCAAAATCGATTTAAGCAAACCAACGATTGGGACAAGCCAACGATTATATGACTTATGAAACAACTTGATGACTTAAAACGATAAACCTTGACCAAACATTATGACAGCTTATATGACAGCCTAGAAGATTCTATAAGAAATCTTCTTTTAGAAGAAGGGGAATGTTGAAAAATGATTTTATTTTGTCTTAAATTTTTGTTGAATAATGATTTTATTTTGTCTTAAATTTTTATCGTATTTGACCTTTTATAATTTTACTTCTTATTATTTATTTTATTACTTTTTGTTTTTGTATTCAAATCTTGATGTAGAAAAAAAATATATATAGAAGCAAATTTTATGAATAAAATAGATTAAAAATAATGTTTTTACTTTTCTTCAGATAATATGAATAATTTGTAATATTTTGTAAATAAGATATATTTATTGTACCTTGACATCCAATACTTGCATAGGTTGTAAAATTTTGTAAAGATAAATTAAAAGAATATTTAAGGTTTTACTTTGGCATTCTACAATTGCATAGTTAACTTGTATAGATATTAAAAAAAAAAATTAACGTTTATTGATACTTTTAAGATAATTTTGATATACTTTTATTTATGTTTTTTCATTTAAAAAATAAAAATATTTAAGAGCAAATATTATCTCATATGTATGGGCATATAATTTAAATAAATATGTATTATGAAAATATTAAGACTAATATATATATATAATATTAAAACAAATATTATTTTTTTCCCATTTATATTTATAGATATCAGTTCAAGATTGTGAAGGATATTTTTCTCATGCAAAGGAATTTAAATCCTTATTTGGCCATGACGCCCATTAATTATTGTTAATATGACCGATTAATAATAACCTTTAAATTGTTTTTTTTTATGTTGTTATAAATTGATTTTTTTTATAAATTGATAGATTGATTTTTTTTATATAAATTTTGATATATTTTATTATGTAAAGCAGATTTTTTTAGTTTAAAAAAAGATGTAAAATTTAAAAATATATATTGTATAAAATTAAATAATTTATTTAAATAAACGATTTTTTATATAAACTAATCTTCTAAAATACTTTATGGATTACATCAAATATTCAAAGATACTTCAATTATATACAATACCATTGATGCACATATATTTTAAACAAATAAATTTATTTAGAATTTTGTAAAATAATTATAGATATTCCGCTAACTTTTATGAATAGATTATAAGTTTAATGGAAAACCTTTTTTTTATCTATTTTTGATTTCGATTTAAAATAACTTATTTAAAAATATAATATCAAGCAATAACTTTTAATTTGTACTTGATCCACCTACTCAAAAACAAGGACGAATTCTAATATTAAAATTTTTTTATGGTTTGACTAATAAATAAAAATAAAATTTTTTTTTCGATTGCTTCCCTAGTAGTAAACTTGACGCTTCATCACTGGTTAATAGAGATAATATAATTAGAAATTAAACTTTTAAGTTAGTCTATGAATTTGCTAAAAATGTATAAAACTAATTTTAGATATGTGAAACATAAAAAATGTATTTTTAGTCTATATCTAAGGCTCATATTATTTTTTAACTTTATATTTACATTATGTATTAAAATATGAAATTATTCTATAATACATTATAGCAATCAAAAAAGAAAGCAATCCATCGGAATAAAAATGATATTAATAAGCGTTTAAATAATATATACATTTTACATATTATGACAGTATAAAATATAAACAATTATAAGAATGAATTTATATTTGAAAATTAATAAAAATACATAGATTTATAATTTTTTTCGGTAATTGATTTAACATTTTTTACTCTAAGCATTATTTATTTGTTTTTAATCCCAATTTTTGTTTATCCTGTAAAAAGCCTTGTACAGATATTTTTGCATAGTATTATATTTACAAATATGTAAAATTTATAATTATATTTAGTGTATATATGTAGATAGTTTTGCTTAAAATGCACGAAGTTGCTTGGGAAAACAATAATGATATTTTTTCTCCTGTACAGGATTCGAATTCTAACAAAACAAACTCAACAAATAGATCGCAAGATGATGCTATGGTGCGTTATTTTTTTCAACGACCTCAAAATAATCCAGAGAATAATTTAATGAAACAAAAATGGGCCTTGGGAGATGATAGCATATTACATCAAGTTAAATTTTTTAGATAAATTGTGTTTTAAAAATTAATTGTTATTTTCATAAAGGCAATGAATTAACTTTATTATATCTATATTTATGATTGAATTATTTACCAACTTTCATACTTGATTAAACAAATTAATTTTGCTTAAATTTAGGATAAGATATATTCAACTCTTGACTTAATAATTAAAAAATAATATATATAATGTCTATCTTATATATATATTTTTAAACTCATTTATACTTATCCCCAATTAAACTGATTTTATAAAGCCAATAATGTTTTCTAAATTTTATTAAAATATTCTATCAAATATTTTTAATTTCATAAATTTTTACATTATTTGTAAATAAATATAAAAATTATTGGCTAAAAATTCAAAAATAATATGCTTAAACTATATTGGTGTCTTCTAGATTGTTTTTTCTGATTTAGCAAACTTTATATATTTTTTAAAGGATATATGGACTAAATTGAAAATGTTTTATATATTTGCTTAGAGGTGGACATTATTAGACAGTAGGGATTAAATTTTATTTACGGAAAAAACAGATAGCATCAGGAGAAGGTTTAGTTTATTGTTGTGACTGTTGGTTAAAAACAATTTAATCATTTTTGCATTATAAAAAATTTATATTTATTTATTTTTACTTTATGAAAAAATGGTTTATAGTATAGAAATATTAAAATGATCATTTCTGGTTTTGGAGATTAACCCAACAGTCAGCAATAATTTTTATTATTTTTATTGACCATTTTAGCATTTTATCTTTTATAATATAAATAAATAAAGTAGTATTTTAATCTTAAATTGAAGGAAATATAAATTGCTTTTATTTATATTTATTTAATATAATAAAAATAACATTTATTGATGTTTTAGTAATTATGAGATTAAGTATTTCAAATTATAGGTTTAAAATAATATAGTTTTAAATAATTTTATCATAATATACTTAAAAAATTAATTATGAATATTAGTGAACTTACAAACATGTCCACTTTAAATAACCTTAAAGTGAAAAATGTTCTATAATAATATATTGCATTTATTTCTATTAGTGCTGTAAATGTTACTACAAAAAAGAATATGTTATTGTTACTTGTTAGGCTAAAGAAAGGAACACATAGCTGTTACTCGTTACCTTTTTAAAAAAGGATCGCGCATTACTATTTAAAAAAATAATGGGATACTCATTACTTAAATAATTAAATTAATATACAAAAAATATTAATTTTTTTCCTACAATATAAAATATAAATAAAACTACAAAAAGAATATATAAGATAAGATCTTTTTATAAAAATTATATATATATATATAATTATAATATAAATAAAATTATACAAAATAATATATTATATCTAAGATAACATCCTTTTATAACAATTTTTTATTTATTTTTAGCAGCAATTGATTTTCAAAATTTTGATCAGACAAACATGAGTGCTTAGTGTTCTCAACACAGCTTTCACCATGCTAAACATATGTTCAATTGGTGCAGAGGATGTGAGATTTGATTTTATATTTAATAAATAAACATTTTAATTCAGAGATTAAAAATATTTAATGTTATTTTTATTTTGAAATAAGTTTAATAGATATCTTCACAAGGATCTTCATTCATTTCCTCTTCAAATTTTTTTTTATCAGAATATTCTGGCATGTGTGTTGGATAAAGAAATTAGGTCTGCTCTTTCTTTATCAAGATTTTTTCTCAAACTGGAAATAAGTTCTAGCATTCTTCCTTTGTTTAGCTCTAATTTTATTCAGGGCTAGTGTTGTTAAATGGCTTGTTTTGAGCCAATTTTTAAAAACGGCTAACTCAATACTTCATCCAGAAAAATATTGCCCAAGCTGGAAGATTTTGCTCATAGAAGGAACAAGGGTCTACACATATATTATAGAAATCTTGAGGTTTAGGCAATATTTTTCTGTCTAGAATATTGAGTTAGCCGTTTTTAAAAATAGGCCAATCCAATAGTGGATTAGTTATCCTGGAAGTAAGATATCCCAAATGCATTTTTTCTTTGCTCTCTAAAATTGAAAGAGTCATAGCAATCGGTTCCATAACCTATAAAATCATATTACATATCATATTTCTTAATTAACACTAACCATACAATATTCATCCATGAATGGATTTATCTTAAAATCTCTGAAATTCAGATTTAAAGATTGGCAATTCTCCTTAATAAGACTATAAATTTCACGGAGTTATAAAAAGAGTTCCATCTTGTTATAACTAACTGGTTTAATCAGTTATCTTCCCATTTTTTCCTTAAAAATGACTGCATAGTTTGAAGGTTTTTCATGTTAAATCCACAATAGCTTACACTTAGAAAATGTAATTTTTGAAATGGCTTTAAAATAGACATCGTTACTTGCCTTTTTAATGTCAATACTTGCAATGTGACTTAAATTGTATGCTGAACAGGAATGATGCTTAGATAAGTATACAATACTATCTTAGTATTTTGATTTTGAAATAGATCAAATAATAGCTGAAGAACTATTTCATCATCTGATTTCTCTCCTTGTTCATATACTCTATTAAATTTATAATAAATATATTATAATTTTTTTTACTTGAAAGCTTTTATATAATTTCTAGCATTGTCGATAATGCATTTGGTCACTTTATTTTGTAACATGGTAAAAATTTCAGATTGTTTTTGCTAGTTAATCAAATGTGTACTTTTGGTTTAGTCTTTTACAAACTAAGCAGGCTGAAACCCTCTCAAGAATGTCTGGGTGTAGCCAGTGTAACGTCATCCCTAAATAAGGACAATATTATCAATTTATAATATATATTTTTTATATACCGATGATAAACTGACCAAGAATCCACAGTTGTACTACACAATAAATCCATTAATTTCTTAATTTTAATACTAGGGTATACCTAGACATCACATTTTTAGTTGGCTGTAATTTTTTGATATTAATAAAAGCAGTGCTTTCTACATTTGAAAATGGTTGTAATTCTTCAATAAAATTAAAAACTAAATCATCAAAAACTGATTGTGTTATTTTTATATTTGATGTAGATGAATTCTGCATCTCAATGAGTGTGGTTGATTGGCTTCAATATATTTTATTAATATTCAAATGTTCATTATTCTCTTTCATTTTTTAGGAATGCACAGTCTATAATATTTTAATTAAAATATTAAAAATAACTTCGCTTTTTCAATAATGGAAGATAAATCTTTTATAAATCTGATTGCATATCCCTCACTAGCTTATCGTCATGGAAAAGTAAAACATTTAAAATTGAAATTATGATTAAAAATGATAATTTTCAATTTCCTATCTTGAATTCAGAATTATCATTTAAAAAGGAATCAGAAAATATCTAGGTTCAGTTCTCTAAAACTATATTGCTTCATAATTTATTTAAACAAAGTTTTTTAAAATCACTATTATATTCTTTAAATTTATTAGCAATATGAAGATAAACCAATAGTAATACTAAAACAGGAACAAAAGATATTGTTTAAACCCAATATAATATTTTTAACCTATACTAATATTTTGTCATCTTGGTTTTTTAATATTGGTTGCCAGCTCTAAAATTGCTTATATTTTAATTTCGTGATATGCTGTTCAAAATATTATGAAAGAATACTTCTTTTAATGGTTATTTTATAATACACATGATTTAATATTCTATTAAAGTAAAAAATAATATATTAATTCCTCTTTTTACCTTCATATGCTTTTTTAAGTTTGAACTGCTGGACATTGAGATTGAAATATTTGCATTGGGGCTTATACATATATACAAAGTGTAGATTTGTAACCTTATTTTCTTTATTGATATAAAATATGTTTCAAATTGGGGCCAGCGAAGGGTTAAATTATCTTCATCTGAGGAAGTAATTACCATGGACATAATAATCTTAAAATAAATTATAAAATATAATAATGATTTGAATTTTGATTGAATATTAATTAGATTAACATTCGGCTGAAAATTTAACAACGAGAATTTAAAATATAAACGAAGGAATAGTGGTTAATATGAATTAAAAACTCGGCTTAGTTTATTTATATTAAAAAATAATAGTACAATAAAATGTTTCCTTTTTTTCAATTTTTTTAAGAAATTTAAAGTAACTTTTTGCATTACTGTTATTCAAAAAAAAAGAAACGCGTTACTGTTACTCGTCACCTCTAGAAGAAGGTAACGAAGTTACTTTTTAGAGGTTACTTTACAGCACTAATTTTGATATATTGTTATTTACCTATTTGCTGATATTCATGTAATGAAGGTAAAATGTAATAGTAATATTAACCTTTAGGATGGGACATGATGTCCCAGACTTTTTTTGGGCTGATGGTGCTGAGTCCCCCCTTATGAATAAAATATAAAATGATTCAAGACTTAACTTTTTATATAGTCAGGAGCAACACCAGGGCCATACCTCAAAATCGAATAATTCAGAGCCTAAGAGCTTCTCCCAAACATTCCTGAACTACCCATCTGTCATCTAGCCTGAGAAAAGATTGTCACAATCCCTTGAGAGGAAGGCAAATCTCCTATTTGGGACTTCGCTTATGTCACCTCTTTCCCATCAGACAAAAATTTGAATCCTTTCCTAACCACTGAAACAAAAATAAAATATCAAACTGTATATTCACTACAATGTATTATCATCAAATTGGAATTTTCTCCCTTAAAATACAAATTTTTAAAACTTTAAAAATCTAGTTATTTACTAAAGAAATAAGAGAGTTTTTCATCCTACAGCAAAAAGTTGCAAATTGATATTTTAAATATAACTGGATCTTTTTTGGGAACCAATCTAAAAAATATTTGACTATGCTATTTAATCTATTTTTATTAAGATTTTTATATTATTATATTTTGACTTTATGCTTAATTTTTATAGTATTATATGCTTGATTTTTATAGTATTATGTGCTTGATTTTTATACTATTATATGCTTGATTTTTATAGTATTATGTGCTTGATTTTTATACTATTATATGCTTGATT